CCACATATCTGATTGACGACTAGCCTTAATCGAAAGTTCTCTCTCATTATTGGGAGGGGTAATTAACTATAGGGGCTTGCGCCTATAGGAAACCAGAACTCAGATCATAAAGTCCTCGCAAAATGAGGGCGAAATCTCTGGGTAGTGTCTTATCCCAAACTCATCTGCCTTCCAAAATTTACCCCGGAATATATTCCATTAAAACTCCCTCGCCAAAGAAAAGCAACAAGCGGGTGGAGACCGGGGCCGAATTTTCGGAGCCCACAATCTACTAATTGCTCTTCAGTCTTACAGTGTTTGAGTTTAATCTCCTGGCTTCTCTCAACTTCTCTGATGAAGTGATATTTGATTATAATGTTTTGATGACAAAGTATTTGGTTCTGCCATTAAAAACTAGATTTTTCACCATTGTACTACCTAATTTGCTATCACAGTAGAGTTCTATGGCTTTTTTTTGTGGTTCAGCTATGTCTTCAAATATGCATTTTAGCCATATAGCTTGCCTTGTAGTCATTTCTGCTGCAATATACTCTGCTTCATTTGATGATTTTGCAACTATTTCATGCTTATTTAATCCCCACAAAAATATTCTAGAACCTAGTGTGAATGCATATCCTAATGTGCTCTTCATATCATCCAGTGATCTTGCCCAATCACCTTCAGTATATCCTAGTAAATTTGAGTTGGGAGTAGATTCATACTAGATGCCATAGTCCTTTATTTCTTACAAATATTTAAGGATTCTCTTAGCTGCAACTTTGAGAATTTGTCTTGGACTTGCATGAATCTTGAGAGTAAACTTGTTCCATACATGATATTTGGTCTTATAGCTAATAGATAAAGAAAACTTCCAATGAGACTTTGATAGATCATATTGTTTGCCTTTGATGCATTATCTTCTTTCATGAGTGCCTTATGTCTAGTGGAGTAGCTACTGTCTTGCCACCATTCATCTTAAATTTCTTTAACAGACTTTCTATATACTTCTTTGGGAGATGAAGATCTCACCTTCTTTCTGACGTGGCTCTATCTCGAGAAAATAGTGCATCAAACCTAAATCAATCATCTCAAATTCTTCATCATATCTTTCTTAAAATCCTCAATCATTCTATCATTGTTTCCTATATAGATTAGATCGTCCACATATACGAAGAGAATGAGTGTATTGTTTATACCTTGAGTCTTCATGTATAATATTGACTCACGTTTCCTCCTCCCGAAACCTTACTCCATAAAGTAGTTGTTGATTTAGTTGTGTCAGGCTCTTGGAGCCTACTTTAACCCATAGAAAAGCTTTTTTTAGCATCAGAACTTTGTCTTTTTGTCATTATATGATAAATCCTGAAGATTGTTCTACACAAATCTATTCTTCTAAATAGTAATTCAAGAATGCTGACTTCTCAACTAGTTGATAGATCTTTCACTTCTTTGTACTGAAAGTGCTATCAATGCCCTTATTGTTTCAATCTATCAATTGGAGCAAATGTCTCATCCTAGTTAACTCTAAATTGTTGTATCTCTTAGAAAATAGGCTTGCTTTGTTTTTTTGAATTGATTCATCTGGGCTGATCTTTGCATATAGACCCTTTTTACTCCAATTACCTTTTTTCTTTATGCGGAGTCTACTAGCTCCCGTGTCTTATTCCTCTAAATTACCATTATTTCTTCTTCCAAAGATTTTTTTCATACTTTCTTTGCGGCTTCTTCAAAGCTTTGTGTCTCTATGATTTTCAAATTATAATACTCACAAATCTCTGCTAGAGTTTGTTCTTCTAGGCGGTGCTTTTGAGTTTGTAACTTGAACTGGCTCTTGAGTTGACGCTCAAGTTGGATCATTTATCTCTTCAAATTGTTGATGTGTTGATGACTACAAGTTGATACTTTTTTGTTTAACTTTTCTATCTTTCAATTATATGCCGCATCTTCTTTGAATTCCACATCTTAATTAATGATAAGCTTCTTTATTCTTATGTTATAGATTCAATATCCTTTAGATTAAATACTATAACCTAAGAAAATTCCTTTTTTCTGGTTTTTCATCTAGCTTACTTCTCTTATGTCATGAAATATAGATATAACAAATACATCCAAAGACTCTGAGATGCTTTGCGGAGGCTTCCTTCCACTCCAAGCTTCAACTGGTGTTTTGTTTTTCATTGTTTTTAGATGGACATCTATTTAGAAGATAGACTGCAATATAATATGTCCTTGGCCCAGAAGCACTTTGGAAGACCATTATCTATCAACATAGCTCTAGCCATTTCTATCACAGTCCTATCTTTTCTTTCAGGAACTCCATTTTACTTCGGTGCATATCCGACTGTTAGTTGTCGCTCCATACCATCTTCACAAACTTGTTGAACTCATTTTAGATATATTCTATTCCTCCATCACTTATTAGTGTCTTCAAGTGAAAGATGTTTTGCTTTTCAACATAAGTTTTGATTTTTTTTTAAATCTCAAATATTTATGATATTTCATGCAAGAAGTAAACCTACATCATTCTTTTATAGTCATCAATGAAAAGATTGAAGTACTTGTTTTGCTCAAGTGAAGGAGCATGCATTGACGCGCAAACATCTCTGTGAATTAGCTCCAGTGGCTCCATAACTCTCCATGTTTTGCCTAATGGAAATGGTTGTCGATGTTGTATACTAAGCAAGCATCATTCACAAGCACCATTAATCTCTTTTATTATTGGTAAAATTTTGATCATACTCTTATGGTGGAGAATATTCAACCCATGGAAATTAAAATGCTCTAGCCATTTGTGCCATAATAATAACTCTTCCACTTGTGCCTTCATTGCCACTTCATTTGTATATCTCCACTGAATAAGAAAACACCTAATCTCTTTCATTTTGATCTTTGCTATTTGAAGGGATTTATCTTGCTTGTCATAACTTGTGCAAATATCTCCGTCAAAATATAAAGAAAACATTTTATCCATTATTTGGCCCATGCTAATATGTTTTCTCCATCATTTGGCCTGTGCTAAATAGATTTTGATCAATGTTCGAAATCAGAAGTATATCATTAATGAACCTCTTCCCCTTTTTTATGTCAATGGTAATGGCGCTTTTGTCAGTTGGCTCTATGAAGTCACATTTGACATTTGTCTTGATTTCATCAAGACTACAAAATATATTCTCATTTTTCATCATGTCCTTCCTAAAACTACTATCAATATACCAAGTATCTTCCTTCTCTTCTAATGCAACTTGACAAACATAGAAGAGATTTTTATCATCGTCTCTCATATAAAAAATTAGTTAAATGATTTTTCTTCAAGCGACAAGCACTTTCTATATGTTCAAATTTTTTACAATTTTGGCATTATAGGTTTTCCTTTAAATGAACAATTCTTCTCCAAGTGACTTTTCCTTTTACAAATGCCAAATGGAGAATAATTGTTATTTTTTCTTTGATTCTTTTAACGTTTAGTAATTGCTTGTGAATTTCTCCCAAATTGTTTTGATTTATAAGATTGCAAATTTGTTTTAGATTACGATGTATTTTTTGTAGAGATCTCATTCCGCCTATTCTATCTTTTTTCAAGTGCTTCAAGCGAGCCTATTAACTCTGTTGGTATAAAGGCTTTTATATACTTTGATCTTTTGATTGCGTAAATTATTATATCAAACTTTTTTTATAAGAAATTAGTATCTTTTCAACTCTGTCCTTATTAGAAATTGTAGCTCCATATGCTCCATTTGGTTACTATTCTTTTATTCTAGAGTAATCTTTTGCACTCTCATTATCATTTATTTTAATATTCTCAAATCTCATTTTAGATTCTGCAGCTTAATAGCGCGTACCTTTCTAGTTCCTTGAAGCTCCACCTGCAATGTATCCCATGTTTGTTTAGCAGTTACATGCCCATGATTCGTGGAAAGAAGCCATGTGCTGTTACTCCCAAAATAATGCTTGAAAGTCCTTTTGTTCATTTTCTTCGAGCACCTTCCTTTGATTTGCCGAAAGAATCATCATATATTCTGGAGTATTGAATCATTCTTCAACTTTCTTCCACAAATTTTGGGAGTAAAATATATATATCTTCATTTTGATGGATCAAAATCATAGTTTTGTTTGGAAGATTGGAATCGGGATGATAGAGCGGTTGGAGCTTTCCATTGGATTTAGGCAAGATTTCTACAACGCCCAATAAGTGATTGAGCAAGGCTTTGATACCAAATGTTGAAAATAATTTTGAAGAAAAGTAGATAGGAAAGCAATGAGTTAAAAAAATTTTGGATGAGAGAATAGAACTTTATTACTAATTTTTGCTAAATAGTTTTTAGCATGACTTACAATATTATGGCATTACCTATTTTTAGGTATTAAAACTAAATTTAGAGACTTCTATATTATAGCAATTTTAGAGTCTAATATTCTAGATACTTCTACCAACACTACTCTAGAGTTTTCCTAATTTATTACATATATCCTAGAATCTTTTTCTTTGGACAATACTTTATTATGTGTAGAGTACTCTAAAAATTTTGAGAAATAAAGATTTAATCTTATCACATGAAATAATAATAAGAATCGTAACAACTCTTCATGGCATGTCAGTTTCAAGAAAACAAAAATATACGCATCCAACACTACTGTACCAGTAGTTAAAAGAACACTGCATTAGAAATGAAATTTTTTGCTTTGTGCAACATTCTTAAATTTGTAATTATTTAATTGCTTCAAAACTTCGATTAAGGAGAATAGCATGGGCATGGAATATAAAAAAAATCGTAGTTAAGAAACCCATGGTCACACTACTTGAAAAATGCCGTTGATACTGCACTTACATGTTTATTTTATATGAAAATCACTATCAGCGAGAACTTCAAACAAGAAAATAAGTTTATTATAACTGAAATTCTTGGTCATGTAACGAAAATCATACAAGACAACTGTTAAACATGTATAAGGAATAACATGTAGAATTTAAAATGCAATGCATCTTTTGTCACATGCTAAAGGTTATTTTCGGCTTTAATCAGGTCATCAGCAATTAAACTACTATATCAGATACGAGAAGTGGAGATGAACAACATCAAGCCAATCCTACTAGCATGTGTCAAACAAGATAAAAATGAGAATCAACTAATAGCAGCAAACATTCTTCTTCAGCTGGATATTCTGGTATGGTCGCCCATGTATCAGTGAAATAAGTCTTTCCAAGAACTTTGGATCAAATAAAAAGGAAAATAGATTGACAGGACAATGGAATTTTGAGTAGAAAACCCAGTTTTCATTGACTCACCATGCAATGTATGTCCCAAATACCGTATTATATCTACAAAAATTGTGTGATTTAAAAAAAAAATTCTTAGGTTGCAATAAACAAAAAAAGAAATGAGAAATTTAATTTGATATTTGAAGATGCCTTCCCCAAGCAAGCCCATGGTGCTGGATCCAAAGGTATCAGTGGGTGATACCTAACTTTACTAACATGTCTACTTGGTGAGCTAGAACCTATGTGAAAATGCAGAGAGGAGAGTAAAGCTATAGAGGAAGAGAGAATATGCAAAATGCTCAAGAAAATTATAAATCGCAAGCTAGCATAGAATCCAATAGAATAGTCATGACCTTTTATTTATAGGGTTTTGAGAAAAGTACAACTTTACACAGACTACCAGGAACACATGTCATTCTTTGATTAGCTAAAAAAGAGAGAGATCAGAAGAGGCTCCTGACAAGTTATCTTTTGGCAGGCTCAATAATACCGAGTGGACGAGTAGGCTTGGACGAATCTTCAAGCGAGTACTGAGATGGGAAGACCTATGACCAATGGGCTTGCTGGTATTACCAATGATTTGTGTGAGAGATCTTAGATCGCTTGAGAAGATAAGAGCATGTGAGATGTTACGCGAGAAGGGAAAGGCTTTAAGTGGAATGGTCCAGACGAAATGACTTGACAATCCCGTGAATAGGTGCATTCTTGTAGCTGAGCATGGTGAGCTTGCATGAGAATGATCACTCTCCGAGCGAGCGAATGACTTAGATCGTGGTTTCGATACGTGGCAAGTGTCTAGTTATTTGTTTGATGAGGAATCCTCAAATGGCTCAATAAAAAGGGGATATCCATGTCGGGTCTAGGCGAGTAGCACATGTTGATTATATTAGTTGAATTCTCTTACAGGTTCCAAGCAAGGTGCGCCTCTTGTGTTGTTAGGCAGTTCCAGCTATGGGTCCCATTGGAGGTCGAGTTTCTCTATCATGACTTGTCGTCTATGTGCTAAATACCAGTGAAGGCATATGTTAGTATATATTTAGTTCTCTGATTTACTCGGCTCTTTCATAGGCGAGTGGAGAAAAGGATAAACGAATAATATTAGATGTGACTATCAAATATGGAGGAAAGTAAATGTAGAGTTACTGACCTATTTTTAATGTAGCCTCAGTGATTTTGTTAACCTCACATTAATCAAAGTGATGTGACACTAGCCTACAATTGGCTATTTTATAAATAAGGGGCTTGTGCCAAGTAAGTTTTACTTTTTTGTTTCGGTGATTTAACATATTGTGAGTCTTGAGAAAATGAACCTTCCTAACATAGACTGCTCTCATGTGAGGGCTTGGAAGATGATCGCTTTCATCAAGGATAAGCTAAGAGGATGGAGAAGGTGACTGGGATCTCATCGAGTAGAGAAGTTAAAGGCAACTCCAAGGCCGCACAAGAATCCAACAAACTCGATGTCTCCCGTCTTATGAAGAAGAGTAGGGCTAACTTTGGAGTGGCGATTGTAGCATGTTGTGTTAACTGTGGTGATTGGTGATATTGAGACTGCCACTATGGGTGGTGGTGTCGATCCTTATATTAGGATTGTTCTGCTTCTTAATGAGGATGATGAGCCTCTTGGCATGTTGCTAAAGGTGCTAGTGATGTTTGGCACCCAATAGTAGAGAATGTGGAGGTCTCCTCTACTGAAATTGACGCTAGTTCTTAAGTGCATCTATTTGGGGTGAGAAAGAGAAAATTAAAAAATTTTAAGTATTTGGAAATAGCGTTATTAGGAAAAAAAGACATGCAATATGAGAGAGCCTTTAGTCTGTGTTTACTCAAGAAACCTAATGTGGCATTCACCAAGCGACAAGAGATGAAAGATTTTGTAACAGTGGGTGCTCTCTCGATGCTTGAATGGGAATATCCTGTGTGATAGAGTGCTGGTTGTGCCTCATACTTTATTAGATCTTTCGATTGAAGAGATTTTGCTATTAATTATAAGGGCATTGCCTATAGAGGAAATTCAAAATATTGAGCCTTTGTGACTGGCTAATCTCACAGGTGATAGAGAGTAGGCAGCGGGTGTACACTCTTGAATACCTATGTAGATACCCGTTCGTAGGTGTCTTGTAGCCTGCAAGTTACGGTCGAGTCGAGCGAATGGAGGATGCAGTCCACTCTCGAAGATACTCGTTTGAGGGAATCACTCAAGAGCCGGAATGAGCTTAACTCTTGAGCATAGTGGACCAAGACCAGTCACCACTATCAAGCAATCGCCACCAAGAGGGCGACCTCAGAAGTTCCTCTCAGCTAGGCAACCCTTATTCGTCTAAGCCAAAATTGAGATCCACATATCTATCACATCTCGGCGCTACCAAGATACAATGTCTGTCCCCAAAAAAAACTCTCCATAAATGATCCAAAGACATCCTCAGATGTTACTCGCCTCTCGCCCTTTCACCACAACAGGGTGACTCAGATTACTCAATCTACCATCCACAGCAGGCAAACAACACTCGCCTCTCACCGCCTCAATGGGGCGACCACAATATTCGACCTAGTCCATCTCACCCTCTCAGATCGCCGATGTGCTCGCCACCTCCAAACTATCGAAATAAACTGATGGGACAACTACGTATAATATCCCCACTTCTGTTTCCTTTCGAATCCTATAAAGGAGAGGAGGAAGGCAATGAAAAGTGTTCGACTCAGATTCAAACTCGAAATTTAGACTCGTACATCTGATCAAAGAATCTAATTTTTCTCTAGAATTCCATACTGAAGATCCTATGGAGATTCCTTGAATGAAAACTCTACAGTAATGTTGACGAAACATTTGGAGCTTGCCAATAGCCATGTCAATGTTGAGGAATACAACCGAGTGTTTGAACCTATTGCAACTGTCTCATGCCACCATCCTTTTGCAAAGAGCAACCTTCCTCCCATAAAGGCACAGGACGGTATTAAATCTCAAGGGAAGAGAAATCAAGCACCCAACTTCCAGCACGAAAAAAGGTATCCCAATCCTTATGACGTTCCCCATGTCTTCATTTTTCCATATGGCTGAACACCACATGCATCAAGATCTAGAAAGACACACCGAGAGGTTGCTCACTTATCCTCACGAGTACTTAATGTATACTCCGCTGAGAGTATTCATGGTCGAGCTTGTTGAGGCAATCAAGAATAAGGAGTTCTTTGAGGGTCCGGTGTATATGAAGATCCAAACGACTCTATAACACAACTCGATATTATGTGTTCCACAAGGACCAAGGGCATGACACTAAAGAATGCCGACACCTGGGAAACCTAGTCGAAGAACTCATCAAGAAAGGAAAACTTAAAGAATTCAAGCTCGCCAATCCAAAACTGCAACCAGGGAAAGCTCCACTCGAAGAAACAACGAATGAGCCAAAACCAGCTCGATCTATTCACATCACAGAGGTTGTACCCGTAATACAAGAGGTGACCAAAAAAGCACACTTGCACCTTCAAAGAAACCACGAATTGCCAAATTTCAATACTTCCCCATGCTCCCAATATGTCGATGATGCCTAAGTAAACTTCAGCAATAGAGACAAACCTGCTAGAGATGACTAACAAAACTTCCATATCCTTCATAGCCCTCATCGCAAAAATGTTAACTATGTTGACCCCAAGCCAGAGAAAGCCAAGGGAGTATGAGCACTAGCACCTGTACAGCAACCCTCCCAGAACGTCGTAGAAAAGCATAGGGACAGTTCACTTAGACTTAACATATTTTATCGAACTTTCAGTACCCGCTATCACGAGAGGTGACAAAAAAAAGCACTCCTAAACCTTCAAAGAAGCCACAAATTGCCAAAGTTAGTACTGCCTCATGCTCCCAATATGTCGATGATGCCTAAGTAAACTTCAACAATATAGACAAAGTTAGTATGTTGTTGTTCGTTTGTACTTCTTGTTTAAGTTATGACTAGTCTACTATTTTGCATTTATTTTTTTTATGCTCATGTTTCTTATGCTTTTTTATTTTGTTGCTCAATTTTCTTCTATTCACTTTATCTCTCTTTTTAAAATAAAAAAAAGTATATATATATATATATATAGACAGGGCATAGGGATACAGTCGTATGGATAAGATAGAATACTTTTTATTTTATTTTATTTTATATATATATATATATATATATATATATATATATAAAATTAAAAAAAAACTCTCCTTATTTTCAAAAAGTTCAACTAGCAAGGCGGTTTAGGAAATAACAAAAATAATTTTAAGTTATTTAACAACAATATTTGTCATCATCAAAAGGGGGAGATTATTGCAAATATGAACCCAAGTCCTGGGATTTTGATGATAACAAATATTATTTGACTCCTTAATATGCTATCTCCTGTTAATTACTATTATTGCATATATGTTCCTCTTGTGCACTAGCATTTCAGATTCACCGTACACTGTGCAAAAGTGTTTAGCTCAAGATTAGATAGAATAGGATTAAACTGTCTTCAAGAGTCTGTATTTTTGCTTTTTCTTATTTCTACATTTCTTGAGTCAAAATTATATATTTGGTGGATATTAAACTTAGTGATCATCCACACACACACTCAAGAGAGTGAGACAGTGACAAAATTAGAAGTTCAATTTGTTAAACTATTCATACTGTATGATCAGTTAATCAGAAAATCATTAAAATGACTAATTGCAACAATTAAAGCAATTTGAAATAATCGTACTGTATGATCTATATCGTACATAACAATCAGTTGTAATCAAAATCCCAGTCGCCAATCACAATTTAAGCAATAATTTAAAATTCAAAATTTGTACAAATCATATGGTACGATTAGTATTGTATTGTACAATGTAATTAAATCTTGCCTAAATTAATCTTATAATTAGGGAAATAATTTTGGTTAATTTGTCCAATCAGATCATACAAGACGATTGAACCCCATCGTACTGTATGTCTCGATCATTGCATATGATGATATTTTATCATAGTCAATCGTACGGGACGATAATCCAAGTTGTTTGAACTAATCGTATTGAATGATCAGCACAATTTATTGAATTGATCGTACAACGCCTTATTCTTCATACAGTACTAATAGAATTATTTGAACTAATCGTATCGTACGATCTTGGATCGTACTATATGATCAGAGTCGCCAAAACTAAATTCTAGGGCTTTTTGTGAGGCCTTGTATTTAATCTCTTTAATTATACTTATTTCTGGGTGTTTGAATGCTGAGTGTTCTTGAGAAAGTGCTTGGAGAAGGGGATCTAGGAGAGCTTGTGTATGAGAGAGAAGTAGTGTGAAGGGTTCACACGGTTGCTCCAAGCGAGTGTATTTCCTTATTTCTTCCAAATGTTTGTCTAGGTTTCTTGGGTGGCAATGGGAAGAAGTTCTTCAGCTCAAAGTCGTGATTCTCTGCCATCACCATGAGGGTGAGAAAGGAGGTCAAATTCTCAACCGCACTAAGTTGGTGAAAAGATTGTAAGGGCTTTTCTGCCTAGTTGTAGGGGCTAAATAAGAGACACTAAAGCTTAGTGAAATACTTAGAGACGAGGACTCCAAGAAGGGGACATATGTCATTGTTTGAACGAACCAATATAAAATTATGTTGTGCTAATTCTAATTTCTTATTTCTGCACTTTATTTTTTCTGCATTTTATTTCTGTGATAATATTCTTGGTGATAAACAATAATTAATGCTTCGTTCTATTGATTAGACTATCATTATTATTATTTTGACTTTTTGATAAAATTATTAACTTTTGCATCAAGTGATAGTTGTTACTTGTTTTTAATTACTGAAAAAATTCAAAAATATAAGTGTTGTATTTTGAAGTAAGAAATTAGTTTCTAAATTCATCAATTCACCCTCTCTTGGTGTGCCTAGGGACATTTCACTTAAGCTTAACATCCTTTATCAAACTTTAAGTAATCACGAGAGGTGACAAAAAAGGCACTCCTGCACCTTCAAAGAAGCCATGAATCACCAAAGTCAATACTGCCTCATGCTCTCAATATGTCGATAATGCCTAAGTAAACTTTAGCAAAAAAGACAAACCTATAGGAGATAACCCCCTCAATGAAGTCATTATTGTTACTGCTTTAATCACCAAACTACCAGATTGGCAGTAACCTGATCGATACCAGAAGCTCGGTTAACATAATCTTCAAAGCCATCCTTAGCCTTAGCAAGATGGATTTGATTGCTTCTTGACATGCCCCTACCATGGGAACCCTCTCCAGATTCTCAGTGGAATGCTGGGAGACCAAAGGTGTAATCGCCCTACCAGTCACCTAGGGCCAGGGAGACAAACAGTACACCGCCATGGAAAACTTCATCACATTCAAAGCACCAGCCACCTACAACACCATATTCGGCAATCCATTTATGAATACCTTCCAAGTAGTGGTATCTACTTAGCATGTTTACCTTAAGTTCCTAGTAAACGGGAACGGAAACCCCGTGAGAGGTGATCTTGCTCAATTGCATACTTACTACATGTGGCCACTATGCCTCGAAAATACTTTCGAAGAAATTTCATAGCTAGATAGAAAGCGAGGAACAGGCCTTGAGGCAATTGAAACCATCGAAGAAGTACCTACAACAGAAAATCAACAAGGAAATTCCTTCAATATGCGACATGAAATGGTGGTGTCACGGCATTATAAGATGAGCTAATGCCTCAGCGCTGTTGAGCATGCTCTGTTGCGGCACTTTGCTGACCCGACGTATCAATTCACAAGTGCATCGCTCGGCTGATTCACACGGCTCCGAATTTTGCTAATTGCTCTACCATGGATGTGTAATCTAGCAATGTGACATTATAATGCTCAGAACTCTGATGCTCAAATTCTTGAGACTAAGGTGCTGCGACACTGATTTTTGGTGCTATGGCGTTGACCTTGGCTCCGCTGAGCCGTTGAATTATTTGCCATTTTTTCCAAGGCGCTGGCACTGTGATTCCCAAATCTGATGTCGCGACACTGATAATTGGAGCGCTGAGGCGATGGTTCAATACTTGAGAATTTTTTTCACCTTTTCTTGAGGTTTTCCAACATAATATCAACTAAAACATTACATTTTCACTAATTCTTAATATAATAAAACAATACAAAATTTACACTTAACACTAGGTCTATTTGATGAGCTAATGAGTTAGAACTTATGTGAAAATGGAAAGTAGAGAGCAGAGCTAGAGTGGAGGAGAGAATATGTTGAATGCTGAAGAAAACTATAAATTCAAGCTAGCACTGAATCCAATAGAATTAGTTAAGAAGAAAAAGATCTAAAACTAATCCTCATCACTCCTTATTTTTAAGATTCTGAAAGCTACAGGAAAAGCGACCAACGGACTTATTGATATTGCAGGCGATTTATGCGAAAGATCTTGAATCACCTGAAAAAGAGAGGGGCAAGTGAGATGTTGCTGCGAACAGGGAGAGGCATCATGTTGGATGGTTGTGGCTAGATGAGTTGAGGGTCTCGTAAAAAATCACTTTTCTATAGCTGAGCTTGCATGAGAATGATCGCTTCGGAAGAGAGCGAGTGATTGAGATGGTGGTCAAGATACATGGCGAGTGCAAAGTTACTAGTTGATAAGGAATACTAAGTCTGACCCTTAAAAGAGCGCGCTCCTTGGCGGGACAGGGTGAGTAGCACCTACATATTGTATTGGCAAGTTATCTTGCAGGTGCCAAGTGAATATTGCCTCTCAGATCATTATGCGAGTTCTAGCTATGGTCCCCCCTTGAAGGTTCATGATCTGCCAGCTACCTGCTAAATAGCTTTGAAGGCATATTCAAATATACAAATGGTTATGTAGGCTTATCATCCCTTTCTTTGTCCATAGATACAACTATAATCAGTGCCTGAATAAAAAACTGCAAGCAACTCTAGAATTCTTATATGGCATTTATCATCCCTGTATATCTTTAGCGATATTAGATTTCTTTAGTAAATATTATATTCTGGTTCAAGCCTTTACGTTTGGTTCATTTGGAAAAGCATTTAACTGAGGTCCTGACCTAGGGTGATGTAGAACGAACATGCGAAGGAGCTTCTTAAGAGAATTAAAAGTGAATGACAACATAATTTCAATTAATATCTTATTGAGATAGCAAGAAAATCATTAAAGAAATCGTGTTATTAACTAGCTTAGGCGAAGAAGTATGCGTAGATTGACCAAAACTCATGGATAAACAATGATAGTAGCAACACCAAAAGCTATTAAACAACAATCCGTAATTTAATAACGAGAAGTTCACCTTGGGGATTAACCACTCAACTAAACAAGGCTTAGCGGGAGAAGATTTTCAGCACACCAAACGATGCCACGAGGAAGGTCGCAATGCCAAGGGTCTTGAGCCACGGAGAGGTTGCCGGTGGTGGAGGAAACACGGGCGGCGTGCTTTCAATAGTCCACTCGTAATCTTCGAACCGCTCGTCTATGATGTCGATGAGTGTGGGTAGGATGCGGTTCAAGTAGTTCTCCACCGTTTCGTCGAATCCAAACCCGACGTCAAAGAAGGGAGAGCGGATGGGGTGAATATATCCCTCGTCGTCGAGCACCAATCCACTATCAAGCTCCGGATCCGCCATGCATAATCGAAATAGAGGTGGAAATGCATCGCCTTCTTTTTCTCTTGGCTTCTCAATTCACAAAAGAAGGAGAGAGAGAAGAGGGGTCGGCGGGATTCCCATGGAGAGAGGGTGAAGCCGGCGGGTGCAAGGTGAAGGGAGCTTGGGTTTAGAGAAATTAGGCTTAGTGGAGAGTGTAGGGGGATTAATCAAAATCTGAAAATTAATTTCAGTTTTGATTAAAATTGAGAGGGAATTGACTTGGATTTTGAATTTCAAATCCAAGGGAGTTATGGTATTGATTGGGGAATTAATGGGAGGAGTAAGGAGGGGAGGCCGGCGGTTTCAAGAGAGGAGGGATTAATTTAAAACCTGAAATTAATTTCAGGTTTTAAAGGAATTAGGAGGGAAAAGTAATTCGAAATTGATTTCAAATTCAAGCGTCATCAATGCCTTAATGATGGCATTAATGGGGCTCCTCCAAAGAAGAGGCCGGCGGCATGCTAAGGGGAGAGAGGGGGAAATCCAAGGGAATAAGCTTCCAATTTAGGATGATGACGTGGCAATAGGTTTCATAACTCCAATCTAAATCAAATTGAAATTGAATTCCATCATGAAAACTTTTCGAAATTGGATTTTCAAATTAGGAAAGAATTTGAAATTTGAAATTCAAATTTCAAATTTGAAGCAAGCGGAAGGAGGGGTTGGACGGGTGGGGGAAATCGCCGGCAAGGTGGCCGGCCTGGACCGTGGAAGTGGCCGGCGGTGGGCTTCCAAGGGGCGGCGACAACTTGGGTTATGGAGGGATTTTCTTGTGGTGGAGCAGAAGAAGATGGATTGAGATACAAACGAGAAGATAGAATAACTTAACCACGAGCCGCGGACTCTTCCAAGGACTGGTGGACCTTGCGATTTGCTCCCCTTGAGCTCTCTCCCTTCGATCTCAAGCTCTCATCCAAGAAGAAAAAGTAGAAACAAAATAATTTTCATTCAAATATTCATTAGCTATTACAAGAGAAAAGACCCATATATATAGGTCTCAAGTAACATGAAGAAATAAAGACTAGATTGTCCTCAAGGCCCCAACATGACTCAACTCAACATAAGGGTACAAAAGGAATACATAAAATAAAATGCATAATAACTAAAAATATAAGCTCTGAATCGTGGCCGTCGATCTGCGATGCTTCCGGCAATACACTTGCTTGAACCTTGGATCGATGTCCTCATCAGGAAAGAGTACTTGTTTAAACAAATATAACATCAATTTTTAACTTTAATGCAGGAAGGAACAAAATGTAGAAGTGTATTCGCAGAAGAAGCAATAGGGGCCTTATTAGGTTCAGTTGTGACAGGAGAAAATCCCAGATTGCAGTCATTATCTTTATTCATCCTTTCAAATATCGGAGGGACTTTTGCCTGGACAGGAGTATCATACACGGCAGCCTGGCTTGTAAATAAAGCAGGATTAAAAGACTCAACTCACAGAAATATGATCAGAGATATTGACTGGCACGACCCTTGCTTACAGGTTCTATATGAATTATATAATGGAAAGAGGGATTACAAATTTACTTACAATAATGCAAGAGAATATTGAAAATAATAGCAGACCTTGTTTGATTAAGTTATTGATATTTCACGCAGGATCCTGAAATGTGTAGCTGGAGTAGAAAGGCAGCAAGAGTACTCATCAAATCTGGGATATCTGTCTTCTGTGCAGTAGCAAAGGGAATTCACAGCGAACGACAGAGCGTTCAACGGGATTGCCTCATCACTACTGCATGGCTTGGAAGTGAAATGGCACTTATTCGGTCAAGGAGCCTCAAGTATTCTGCTTGTGAAATTTTGCTGGATGAAATAGCCGCCTTTCTTCATCCCGGAACACTACTCGATGAAAGGGTTCTAGCATGCCTGAGCGTCTACAACTACACTTTTGGTAAAGGTAGGTGTCCACATCATTAAAAAAATTGATTATTACAAGTACGTAAAATTAGAAGAAAAAAAGAAGAGCTAATAAGGCTCCAGCAAAAAATTTCGACAAAGGAACATATGAGTTTAGCCTTATCGACGGAAAGCATGAACCTCTAAGATGAATTGAGGCATAAGCCTCCTAAAAATTTTATAAAAAATTTTAAAATTTGAGATTAATTTTATATTACAATTACAATGGGGGAATTTATTTTAGATTAATTTTGTATACACAACTCTCCTTGGCCTATTGGTTGAGAGCTAAGGCTTCCAACTAAGAGGTCTAAGGTTCGAGTCTCTGTGTATGCGTTGTGTGTGTGAGTTTGCCTTAAATGACCTAAATGTTCCAAAAAAAAGATTAATTTTGTATACTCAAGGGACCAAATTATAGCAATGTATTACTCTGACGCAATATTGGTCGTAGACGTTTAATCTTGAGACTTTTTTGAGATTTTTTCTTATTACTATTTTCAAAATATTAATAAAAATAAAAAAGTTCATGTTATTTGAGGCGTTCATCTTGTAGGCCTCATGGCATAAAGCTTAGAGCCTTAGAGGCAAAAAATCAAGTGAAAAAATTGTATGACTCACTTGGGACTTAAAAACCTTTAACCACGATTCACTGAATAAGCACCTCAGGGTGAGGCATCTTGAGGCGAGTGCATTAAACATCCTTTTAAATCATGATTTACATTCAAGATTCACAAAATAATTTCCCTAATTGGAATGAAAAAATATCACTCTTTGAGCCATCATTCAATTATACGCAGCTCAATTTGATCTATTAGTTTAAAGTTTTGGTTACTGATCAAGATGTTCTAGCTAGGTTCAAGTCTTATGTATGTAATGTGTATGTGAATTTGTCTTAATTGACATAAATGTTAAAAGAAAAAAAAGAAACATCATTCGTAATGCAAAAAGATTCCTATGTGGCACCACTAACATTTAATATCGACATGATTGATAAGCACATTCGAGGCTCTATTTATATTAGCTGCTAATAATAAGAACAAAGAACTTTACAATAGGTTTTCTAAGAGTTTTAGGCTTCGTTTGGGACAACTTTCTTATTTCTTCTTAAAGTTGCTTTATAGTAAAAAAAATTAAAAATTTTGTACTAAAAAACTGTTTTAAGAAGCAATAAAAAAACCGTCTCAAATAAAGCCTTAAGGCTTTATTTGGAATGGCTTTCTTACCATTTTCAAGATTAGCTTTTTAATACAAATATTTTTCTTCAACAAGAAATTTTATCCTACAAAGATGTTTTAGAAGTAGTAAAAAAGCTGTCCAGATGAAACTTTATTTATCTTCTTTTGCCTATCATCATGATATTTATTAAAAAAAGTTCCTTCTCAGTTTACTATTTTCATACATGATGACATAGAGTACTCATTTAACCACAAGTAGATTAATAACATTATGAAATTTTAAGCAGTCATCATCTTTAGATACTTAAATGTTCAATTCCAACAGCTATATTAAACTATAAAAAGCTTTAACACGCAAACAAAATTGTTTTATTTTTTTTTTCCCTTCTAAATCTAGTTTGTTAAGGTTTACTAAAAAATTGTCATGGTGTAGGCAAAGAGAAACTGCTAAACTTCTCCGAGGGATTAAGAGAATCACTGAGACGACTTTCTGGTGTCACTTGGATGGCTGAAGAATTGCTAAATGTTACTGATTATTTTCATCCAACTAAACCTGTAAGAACATTGACATTTTCCTTTTTTTTATTATTAATAAGGACACAACATGAACAAGTAAATAAAATTATATGTCATCAACATCATCATCCCAACAATTTTCGGTCAGCAATTTTTTTTTTTTGGTAAATATATAGGTACTTGTTAAACGGTGCCTGCGATGATAAATTTATTATTGAGAAATCAATTTAAACAACTTCTATTCATATTACTTCAAATTTATAGGTTCTCCCTCCTAATTCTTGTCACTAATTTCTAATTATTGTCACTAATTTCTATGTTACATATTAGTAAACATTTGAACATTGCATTAGACTAGTATAATGAGGATTTTGATATTTTCTTTTCTTTTCTTTTCTTTTCCCTTAGACTTAATGTTTCATAGAGCATGACTAACTTGGAAAGAAACCTTTTTCTAACCCTATTTCAAATTCTCAAAAAATAAAACTCTCAAAAGTTTCATTTCATATTACCAAAATTATCTTTTATCAACATATATAATAAAAGTCTTTTGTTACTTAAAATGATGCGTAACCGATCTTAATAACAATATTTTTGTGATTAATCTATTTATCTTCTTTCTTGAGCAATGTGCAGAGAGTATCCTGTGTACATACACAAATTTTGGAGATAGTTAACATTGGTAATGGATCTGTAACTGCTCTTGCCTTCTACAAGGGACACCTATATACAGGTTTTTCTGATGGTACAATTAAGGTATGTTTTACTATCAATATATAGTCATTTCAACTTCACATGAAGATAAAATATAGCAAAATATTTGTGAGAAAAATATGATTTGCCTAGTTTTCTATAAAACAAGCTAACTTGAAAGGTTTGGTAATCATGGTAGGCAAAATAGTTTTGTCAAAATTTAATATTATAAAACTAAATGTTTATAAACTTTCTAATAGTAACAACTTCCAGTAAATTAAAATATCCACCAAATAATAAAATTCAATTATGTTCCAAAATAACAACAAAAATATTATTGTTTATATAACATCAATAATTTTTAAATAGATTTTAATTGTAGCTTCCATATGGTATATACAAACTCTCTTCTCACACATTTAATTCTCAAGATTTTGTCCTATAAATGTTGCTTAAATAACAATAACACAACTTGATGAGTTCTTACTCAACTTAGGTAAAATGTTATTCTGAGTTAAAGTAACAAAGAGGAATTGAAAAGCAATCTGTATACCTATTATAATTGAAGACTCAATATAAAACCATAGAACATTTTATTCAAACATGACAATGAAAAGAGGTTTGAAATCATTATTTTACACAATATCAAAGTAAAAAAGAAATGATCATGGCATATAATAGCATATATTATCTTAGCTTATTCTATCAAGCAATGATTACAGGAATATCATCTTATTCTATCATTAAAGATACATCAATATCAATATCTTTTTTCAAACCTTGAACATGCAATCATTTTGCATGTGATTACAAGCATTCCTAACAAATATTTTAAAGAGATGAACTCCATCTTTCTATAATGCACATTATATGAAATATTTTAAATATTTGAAGCATGACATAAAAGTTTTATCATTCTTTTAAACATGATGAATTATTACCAATAATAGAGATAAGTTATATACGATAATGGTGTCAATATCAAATGATGCATTTAATTTAGAGGATAATAGTCACTATAATTTTAAAATATGAACACTCAATTTAACCTCAAATGACTTGCGTTTGCCCTATAGTTCTTAAACTATACCAATTTTAGTTTAATGCCTATAATTGTACATTTTTAAATCATTTTATTTAGATTACATATATATCTTTCTACTATGCTTAATTAAATTACTTAATTATACTTCTCTTTCATTAGAGCATAAAATTAAACTAAAATAGCTATATATTACTTTTAGAATATCAATAATTCAATCCTTTAAAAAAAATTATCTTTTAAATTATATTTTATGTACAACTTCAACATATAATTAAATAATAGACTTTATAAGATCTTCATATTAGTGTACTTATCACCCAAATTACTCTTTACATAAGACAATGCCCCTCTTTATCTCTTTATAAAGAGATAATTTAGGGAAACTAAATATAATAATAACAAAATTATTAAAACACACTAAATGAAACAAACAAAAACATTAGATACCTTTATAGGCTCACTCTAAAAACCCCAGGATAGGAACTACCCAAACCAATTCAAAACCCTTTAGCGATGTTACCACAAAGGTTGTCAATGACTAAGTTTGTGTTACACACTTTTATCACATGAAAAAGATTATGGTGCACCACTTAACAAAAAAAACCATTTAAGCACATGTGCTACAAGAGAGATTTTCCTCTTGGTCTAGCCCAACAAAATCTTTCAACTAACATAGTTGACTGTTGAAGGCTTCTCATGGAGGCTAAATAGCCTCATGGAAGTTTATCCCTTATTTTTAGTTGATCATATACTGGAAGAAACTTCAACTTATAGGTGGTCTTCAATCGACTCTTCTGTCACATGAAGTGCACATCCAGCATGCACGAGCCAAGCATATGGGAGCACAAAGTGCTTCATAATTATAGGATCAAACTATTACAGCTCTGAATAAAATTATAAATTAATAAAAGAAAAAAAAAACAAAATTAAGATATATAAACAATCAACATCTAAACTCCAATCGGAATAGAATACAAAAGATCATTATTCTAGCAAATTATGTTGTTGTTCAAAGAAAAAAAAAGGTTAAACATATTGTATTAAATTTTAGCATTCCATATACGTCCATATAGGTATGGGACATCAAGGAAAAGCAGTCTGTGCTTCTATGGGAGGTCAAGCTGCATGAAAAGTCTATTACTTGCTTCACTGTTTATGAACCAACTGACAACCTTTTAAGTGGATCTGCTGATAAAACAGTCAGGGTAATTAATTACAACTTATCAATTTAGTGAACCTTACTATGAAAAACCACAAGTGCATATAACAAAAACATTTTTTCATGTTTCTTTGCAGGTTTGGAAAAATGTACAAAAGAAATTGGAATGTGTTGAAGTTATACAAGTAAAGGAACCAGTCCAAAAAGTAGGCACTTACAATGAAAAGATCCTCATAGTCACACAAAGTCGTGGTATAAAGGTGATACAACTACTTTCAATTGGTTGTAGATTAGCCGATAACTACATGATGGAGATTTTTGCCAAAAATTTAGTCAATACAATGCCATAAATAGCCCATTCCTCCTATGTCTGTTTGCTTATTATTAGAACTAAGATTTATTGCCATATTGTCTTTTGATATGATGGAAGATGCTAATTTTTCTCAGGTTTGTGATGTATCAAGGAGCATCCAAACAGTTTGCAAGAATAAACATGTCACATCATTTGCTGTCTTTCAAAGAAAAATTTACTTGGGCTGTACAGATTCAAGCATGCAGGTGGATTGTAGTTCAGGCATAAAAACATGATGTCATTTGAAAGGCTATGTGTAACATTGAAATCCTTTCAGGAAATCGACATAGAGGAAGAAAATGAGGTTGAGATCAGAGCTCCCACACCTAGCTGGAAATTTCAAAGAACGCCAATGAATTCAATTTGTGTTTTCAAAGACATGATTTATTGTGCAGGTGCTTCAGTAGAAGGATCAAAAGCGAAGGTAAATAAATTGGTCTACTTTAAAGCAACTATAGAATGGGGGTTTAGTTGATTTGAAATAATTCTAGGAATGGAGAAGGTGGAAACAACCTCTTATCTCAATAAAAATGTCGAGGCAAAATAATGTGCACGCAATGTCAGTGGTTGAAGATTTCTTTTATTTGAGTTGCAGCTCATCTCCAAGTACAATTCAGGTAAACATTTCACTCTCCCATACTAAACATTTTTTTGTAAAGATCTCTATATAGTTTAAAAACATGTTTCTACTATCAGATCTTCTTGAGAGAAAAGCAACAGAGTGTAGGTAGATTATCAGCAGGAAGCAAGGTTATCAGTCTCTTTACGGCAAATGATATTATCTTGTGTGGAACTGAAGCTGGATTGGTGAAGGTGCGGTTAACTTATTTAACATTACTACAATCACGGTCATTTGTAATGATTATTACTGAATATTTTTAACATGTTTAACAACAGGGATGGATTCCTCTCTAGCTGGTAAATGACCAAATACAGCTGAATAACACGATTGTAAGTAATGATCTTAGTATTTGAAATTTGATATAAAAACACGTCAAGTAAAAGAAACTACCAAAAGGCCTAATGAGGCATATCAAATAGATTTTTGTTATGGGTGAAAAGAAATGCAACGGGTTGGAAAGAAGCTAATTGCATGAAAAATTAATTATGTAGTGCTAAAACAAGTTTTCTAAACCATAACCAGTGTTGTTAAATAAGCAGGAATGAACAAGATGGTTACAACCGAAAAACTATTCCTAAAGTATGCACGAATTGTACTACTAGTAGACCACAAGTACAAATACACTAGCAATATAACACTGTTATACTTAAAAAGAGCAGAAAGATAAATATGCTCAAAACAAACTTGACCAAGAAAATGGTCTTCTAGTAATGCGATGGTCAAATGTGAACTGCTACAATGACACAAGCGAAGATAAGCAAATCTTTCATGGGAATAAAACTCATTATTCTTTACATAATATTTCTCTTATTTTTTTGACATTCAGTATGTCATTCCAACTAGACTATCTGCATATCAGGCTATAAGAACAATGAAACAAACACACAATATTTTGCAAACAATGTTTACCATTAAAAAAACAGTTGAAATATAATGCTGACATTGTAATAGGATCTACATCAAATGAGCATTAATACCGGCATAACACTAAACAGTCCAGACCCATAGAACAACAAACATGGAAACTTTATCAAAGATTAGTCGTAAACGGCCTAGATAGATGAAGTAAGAATTATGGTTTGTTGCATTATGCGAAATCAATTAAAATAACGTGCTGAAGATGGGGAAATGTGTAACAAAGCTTTAAAAAATCATGCTTTCAATGTAGCATACAAACAAAGATTTTGCTAGCAATAAGTTTATTGTGGTTCCAATTCTTGAGCAGATTCTTCTTTGTTACCCCCTTGCAAAAGGAAATTCGTGAAATACTGAAGTAACTGACCTGGATCGCCAGGATTTACTAGGAAGGCAATAACAAACATGTTTCTTTTAAAAGAAATAAAATAAAATGAAACTGCAGAAACAAAGGGCGATGTTCGGGCTTTAGTAGCGGATTAAGGCTTCGTTTGGGACGGCTTTTTTATTGCTTCCTAAAACAGCTTTTTAATTAAAAAATTAAAAATTTTGTACTAAAAAGTTGCTTTAAGAAGCAATAAAAAAACCATCCCAAACGAGGCCTAAAAGACAAAAAAGATTGCTCTGGATGGAAAAATGTAAACGGGGATAGCCAATAAACCCGAAGAATATTGAATCATCACAAGGAAACCCCAAAATGAATCACTTGTGACGACTATAATTTTTTTTTAAATTTAACTAAATAAATATTTATAAGTAATTACGGTCAGCTTTTAAAGGGTGACGGTGGGTAGCACTAGTCCACTGAACTAGAACCGATCGCCAATCCACAGGGCGACTAGCTTTACACTTTTTTTTATTCGGGAGCTGAAGCAAGTCTCACGATGATCAGGCGACTAAAATCATTTTTTTTTTTGTTTTTGTGCTGCTCGTGAGTAGGGCACCGAGGCTTGTTGCCAAATTAAATGACAACTCGTTCACCCCACCCTTCTATTTATAAATTGTTATTGCTTACTATGCTTACTAAGTTAAATTTTTTTAATAATTTTTTCTAAGTAGTTTTTTAACATTTAATTTACTTTTATTATCTAACAATTCTTTAATAATTATTTTTTAAAAAATTAAATGTGAGGTTCCTTAAACATTATTTTTTTAGTATAAAATATCAAAGTGCATTAATCTAATGATCATTCCATCTAAATATAATTTTAAAAAAAAATTCTACATCTAAATGTACCTATTTCGACAGATTAAAAGATTAGGGATCCAAAGAAAAACAATTATAAAGTGCACAACTGGAAAGAGAAATTAATATAAAATAAAGTCCATTGTTTGCAAAGATAACCTCCTGGCATTGTTACTACATTCCAAAGATAACCTCCTGGCATGCATTTGTCGGAGGCCGAGGATTTCTTTCTAGAGTGTTATTCTGACATTGTTATTGCATTATAAAATGACATCTTGCATGGATTGGTAGGTTTAACCCTAGTGTGTCATTTGGTATTACAATTGCATTTCAAAAATCATATCATGCATTACACAAAATGCATCCAATGACGTTAACTCGCATAGGCCTTTACAAGTGTAATGCAGGTACACACGTAACGTCTTTAAAATGCCACATGGCTTAAGAAATAAACTTTGATTCGAACTCATTCCATTGTTTGCCAGTAGACAAAGTTGATAAGGTTCAATTTATGAAACAAAATGTCCATAAACTCCCCAATGATAGACATTTTGAATGTAAACATCAACCGGAAGATATCACATATTTTCAAATGCCCTTAAAATCCTACAAATCACAAATATTTTTGAATGACCCCCTATACCCTAATAATGGACGTGTTGAATATAAATATTAACTAGTGGAGATCAAAAACATCCAAAAATGACCCCAAACTCCCATAAATTCCAAAACTCCAAAACAATAAAATCTAGAAATTTAAAATTAAAACTATTCATCAAACATTTAAAGATAAAAAATCTATCCAACCTCCACAATAACTTCTCGAGGTGGACAAATCTAAAAACAACTTAATCTCACAAAGAGATAATATCTACTTGAAAACATCACTACGATACATTCTCAATATATTTCTTGCCAGTAAGGATATGTCACGTGTTCTCTAATAGGTGGTTTCACCATTAAATGGCATAACACCTGCAATTTCACTGCTAAATGACACCATAAGTAATCGGTTATGACCAAAACCCTATGAACCGAGTGGTTCATAAAATGGCACCATTATATTACGATCATGGTCAGCGCCTTTATGCTCCCCAATGGCATCAAATCATTGAGCAATGAATCAATAGGATATGCTCGATAGGGAAAAATGCTCTATGTCAACTAAAATGGATTCAAATTTATCCCCTTAGATAAATATCCACCACAGGTCTACAAGGTACCCCTTGGACGACGCAACCCACGGCTAATGATAAAGATCTTTCTATCAGGTTGGGTTGGCTACCTAGTCTGACTAAGTAAACTAGGGACCATGATGGCCCGAGATGACGGAACCAAGGAATCTTGACCGAGTTCATCATCACTCCCTACACCATCCGATTTAAGTATAAGATGGTGATTTTTTTTATTTTAAATATCTAATCTTCCAATACCAAACCTATGCTACTACTATATGCTGGATATCATGTATATATGTATATGATGTATTCTTTTGACGACTAGTCTAACCAAAAGTTCTCTTCCATGATCGATAGAGGTAATTAACTATATAGGCTTGCACTTATAGGAAACCATAATTCAGATCATAAAGTCCTTGCAAAATGAAGGTGAAATCTTTGAGTGTGTCTTATCTTTAATCTCAATCTGCCTTTTGAAAATTTACCTCGAAACTTAGTCCTTTAAAATACCCCCCCCACCCAAAAAAAAAAAAAAATCGTAGAGCAAGGGGAGGCCAGGGCTCAAATTTTTTGAGTGCTTAGATTTCTAGTGACTCTACTGGAGACTTGTTTCTCTTTCCATCTCTAGGTAGTCATTCATAGGCTATAATAGCAACAAATTAAATCAATATGGGCTAAGATCTAAAATATTTCATAAAATCAATCTTTAATAAGATTCATTAGAAATTCATAAACAAAGTTTTAAATCTATTTAATTTACCTAATTATGTTATTTATTATGTATAATTTCTACAATTTGAAAGCATGGGTGATGTATCAAATTTTGATCACTAACCCCTTCATTCATTTGTGCATAATAGAAAAATGCAGGGCACCCCTATGACCCTCCAACTGGGATGAGGAGCCATAATCCAGCTGGAAAATAAAGTTATTAACCCTGGCAGTAATGGAGCCACCATCCAGTTTGGTGGGCTCGACTTCTCTACAGCTATTACAAGGCTGATGATATCCCAATATATAACATGGATTATGAAGGGCCCATTAGGATGCCTCTTTCTATTGAAATTGCTATATATCACACGCATCTATCAGCATCGTGAGCATTACTAGGGATGTTTCCCATTTAAGAGTCTTTATTTTTGAAAGGTTTTTGAATAAGGGTCATGGTTAGAAGGAATATTTTTGTGGTGACTACAAACACCATCGCCATGCCTAGAGAGTCTGTTATACTTGGGAGGTATGCTACCAAAGCTTCTTCATCTGGAGTAAAGCTCAATCGAAGGCATAGAAGTAGAAATGCAGAGTTACGAGATCAACAACTACAAGTACACATCCATCCTCCCAATTTACCAGCCCAAAAGTTAGAGACTGATATTCCCACTCAAAATAAGTTTGTAAACCTAAAGTGGGTAAAAATAAATAGCTCCTCTAAGGAGCTCAAACAATCCTTTTAGGAGCGTCAACCCAAAGCCACGACCCCTCAAAAAATAAGAGAGCCTAAACATATTTTCCTTCTTGAGTACATCAAGTTTTGAAGATGGTTATGGAGAGGGGACTTATGAAGAAGAAATTTCAAAGGCTATTGATAATTAAGGCCAAAAGAACCCTTATGAGGGAAAGGCTATCATTTGTCGTAATAGTAGAAAGGGAAATGAATGATAACAAGCTCCACAAGAAGCACATCAGGGCATGACACTTGGATTATGTGTCTGAAAAAATTTTTGCCGAAAGGGCCCAGCGAAAAGCAAAGCAGTAATGAAGGCTAAGCCTTATAAGGAGAAAATATTTGTTGAAAGAGAAACTTTGGGTGTGACAACCAGTGTGGTTCCTCATAGATCCACCCCTCCCAACAAAATTTGTTAGAAATGGGTCCAAAAGAAAACCCATAATAACAGCCACAATGATGGTAGACACTGGATCCTGAAGCAATTCCCTCACCGGATCCTGAAGCAAGGTGGTCTTGAAGGCGATTTTGGAGTCTCTTTGGCTTTCAGTGTTTCTCCGTTGGTCTGGTGTGGTCAACGGAGGTTCTTGGTCACAATTTTCTGCTGGGGAGGAATTCAATTTGGTGTTCGGATTGAATGGTGTGAGCAGATTGTCTGGAGTGGAGGTGATATTTTGAATTTCTTTCTTGTAGTTTCTTGCAGGGAGGCTGGTTTGGCGA